GATGTTAGGGAGGGTTCTAGTTTCATTCTTTTACATGTAACTGTCCAGTTTTCCCAGCACCACTTACAGAAGAGGCTGTCTTTTCTCCATTGTATGTTCTTGCCTCCTTTGTCATAAATTAGGTGACCATATGTATGTGGGTTTATCTCTGGGCATTCTATCCTGTACCATTGATCTATATTTCTGATTTTGTGCCAGTACCACACTGTCTTGATTACTGTAGCTTTGTGGTATAGTTTGAAGTCGGGGAGCCTGATTCCTCCGACTCTGTTTTTCTTTCTCAAGATTGCTTTGGCTATTTGGGGTCTACTGTGCTTCCATACGAATTGTAAAATTTTTTGTTCTAACTCTGTGAAGAGTGCCATTGGTAGTTTGATAGGGATTGCATTGAATCTGTAGATTGCTTTGGTAGTATAGTCATTTTCACAGTACTGCTTCTTCCAATCCAAGAACATGGTATATTTCTCCATCTGTTCATGTCATCTTTGATTTCTTTCATCAGTATTTTATAATTTTCTGAGTACAAGTCTTTCACCTCCTTAGGCAGGTTTATTCTTAGGTATTTTATTCTTTTTGTTGCAATGGTAAATCGGAGTGTTTACTTAATTTCTCTTTCTGATTTTTCGTCGTTGGTGTATAGGAATGCCAGAGATTTCTGTGCATTAATTTTGTATCCTGCAACCTTAGCAAATTCATTGATTAGTTCTAGTAGTTTTCTGGTGGCATCTTTAGGATTCTCTGTGTATAGTATCATGTCATCTGCAAACAGTGAGAGTTTTACTTCTTCTTTTCCAATTATATTCCTTTTATTTATTTTTCTTCTCTGATTGCCATGGCTAGGACTTCCAAAACTATGTTGAATAAGAGTGGTGAGAGTGGACATCCTTGTCTGGTTCCTGATCTTAGAGGAAAATGCTTTCAGTTTTTCACCATTGAGTATGATGCTTGCTGTGGCTTTGTCATATATGACCTTTATTATGTTGAGTAGGTTCTATGCCCACTTTCTGGAGGGTTTTTTTTATCATAAATGGGTGTTGAATCTTGTCAAAAGCTTTTTCTGCATCTATTGAGATGATTGTATGGTTTTTCTTCTTCAATTTGTTAATATTGTGTGTCACATTGATTGATTTGCATATATTGAAGAATCCTTGCATCCCTGGGATAAATCCCACTTGATCGTGGTGTATGATCCTTTTAATGTGTTGTTGGATTCTGTTTGCTAATATTTTGTTAAGGATTTTTGCATCTCTGTTCATTAGTGATATTGGTCTATAATTTTCTTTTTTGGTGATATCTTTTTCTGGCTTTGGTATCACGGTGATGGTGGCTTCATAGAATGAATTTGGGAGTGTTTCACATTCTGCAATTTTTTGGAAGAGTTTGAGAAGGATCGGTGTTAGCTCTTCTCTAAATGTTTGATAGAATTTGCCTGTGAAGCAATCTGGCCCGAGACATTTGTTTGTTGGAAGATTTTTAATTATGGTTTCAATTTCATTACTTGTGATAGGTCTGTTTATATTTTCTAATTCTTCCTGGTTCAGTCTTGGAAAATTGTACCTTTCCAAGAATTTGTCCATTTCTTCGTGGTTGTCCATTATATTGGCATATAGTTGTTTGTAGTAGTCTCTTATAACCCTTTGTATTTCTGCAGTGTCAGTTGTGATTTCTCCTTTTTCATATCTATATTGATTTGCATCCTCTCCCTTTTTTTCTTGATGAGTCTGGCTAAGGGTTTATCAATTTTCTTTATCTTCTCATACAACCAGCTTTTAGTTTTATTGATCTTTCCTATTGTTTTCTTTGTTTCTATTTCATTTATTTCTGCTGTGATCCTTATGATTTCTTTCCTTCTACTCACTCTGGGTTTTCTTTGTTCTTCTTTCTCTAGTTGTTTTAAGTGTAGGTTTAGATTGTTTGAGATGTTTCTTGTTTCTTGAGGTGAGATTGAATTGCTATAAACTTCCCTGTTAGAACTGCTTTTGCTGAGTGCCATAGGTTTTGGGTAGTCATGTTTTCATTGTCATTTGTTTCTATGTATTTTCTTATTCCTTCTTTGATTTCTTCAGTGATCTCTTGGTTATTTAGTAGTGCACTGTTTGGCCTCCATGTATTTGTGTTTTCCACAGTTCTTTTCCTGTAATTGATTTCCAATCTCATAGCATTGTGGTCAGAAAAGATGCTTGAAACAATTTCAATTTTCTTAAATTTTTCGAGGCTTGATTTGTGACCCAAGATGTGATCTATCCTGGAGAATGTTCTGTGTGCACTTGAGAAGAAAGTGTATTCTGCCACTTTTGGGTGGAATGTTCTATAAATATCAATTAAATCTATGTGGTCTGTTGTGTCACTTAAAGCTTGTGTTTCCTTATTAATTTTCTGTCTGGATGATCTGTCCATTGGTGTGAGGTGTTAACGTCCCCCACTATAATTGTGTTTCTGTTGATTTCCCCTTTTATAGCTCTTAGCATTTGCCTTATATATTGAGGTGCTCCTATGTTGGGTGCATAAACACTTATTATTGTTATTTCTTCTTGGATTAATCCTTTGATCATTGTGTGGCATCCCTCATTATCTCTTATAAGAGTCTTTATTTTAAAGTCTGTTTTATCTGATACAAGTATTGCTACTCCAGGGTTCTTTTGATTTCCTTTTGCATCGAATATCTTTTTCCATCCCTTCACTTTCAATCTGTATGTGTCCCTAGGTCTGAAGTGGGTCTCTTGTAGACAGCATATACATGGGTCTTCTTTTTGTATCCATTCAGCCAGTCTTTGTCTTTAGGTTAGGGCATTTAATCCATTCACATTCGAGGTTATTATTGACATATATGTTCCTATTACAATTTTCTTAATTGTTTGGGGTTTGTTTTTGTGGGTCTTTTTCTTCTCTTGTGTTTCCTGCCTAGAGGAGTTTCTTTAGCATTTGTTGTAAAGCTGGTTTGGTGGTGAATTCTTTTAGCTTTTGCTTGTCTGAAAAGCTTTTGATTTTTTCATCAAATCTGAATGCGATCCTGGCTGGGTAGCGTAATCTTGGTTGTAGGTTTTTCTCTTTCATCACTTTAAGTATATCCTGCCACTGCCTTCTGGCCTTCAGAGTTTCTGCTGAAAAATCAGCTGATAACCTTATGGGGATTCCTTTGTATGTTATTTTTTGTTTTTCCCTTGCTGCTTTTAATATTTTTTCTTTGAATTTAATTTTTGTTAGTTTGATTAATGTGTGTCTTGGTGTGTTTTTCCTAGGGTTTATCCTGTATGGGACTCTCTGTGCTTCTTGGACTTAGGTGACTATTTCCTTTCCCATGTTAGGGAAGTTTTCAACTATAATCTCTTCAAATATTTTCTCAGACCCCTTTCTTTTTCTCTCTGTCTTCTGGGACCCCTATATTCGAATGTTGGTGCATTTAGTGTTGTCCCAGAGGTCTCTGAGATTGTCTTCAATTCTTTTCATTCTTTTTTCTTTATTCTGCTCCTTGGCAGTTATTTCCCCCATTCTGTCCTCCAGCTCACTTATTAGTTCTTCTGCCTGTGTTTCCTTATTGATTTTCTGGCTGGATCATCTGTCCATTGGTGTAAGAGGGGTAATGCAACTGATTTTTATATATTAATTTTGTGTCTAGCAACTTTACTGAATTTGTTAGTTCCAACAGTTTTTTAGTGGAAACTTTAGGTTTTTCTATATATAACATCATGTCATCTGCAAATAGTGACAGTTCTACTTCTTACTTTCCAATGTGTATGCCTTTTTTTTTTTTTCTTTCCTAATTGCTCAGGCTGGGACTTCCAATACTTTGTTGAATATAAATGGCAAGAGTGGGCATCCTTGTCTTGTTTCTGATTTTGAAAGAAAAGCTTTCAGTTTTCACCACTGAATATAATGTTAGCTGTGGGCTTGTTATATATGGCCTTTATTTGGTTGAGTTTCTTCTATACCTATATTGTTAAGAGTTTTCATCATAAATGGATGTTGAATTTTGTCAAATGCTTTTTCTGCATTTATTGAGATGATCACATGATTTTGCTCCTTTATTTTGTTAATTTGGTGTATCACACTGATTGAATTTGTGATTTTGAGCCACTCTTGCATCCCTGGAATACACCCCACTTAATCATGGTATATAACCTTTTTAATGTATTATTGAATTAGGTTTGCTAATATTTTATTAAGAATTTTTGCATCTACGTTCATCAGAGATATTGGTCTGTAATTTTCTTGTGGCATTCTTGTCTGGTTTCAGTATCAAGGTGATGCTGACCTTGTAAAATGAGTTTGGAAGTGTTCCTTCCTATTTTTTGTAAGAGTTTGAGAAGGATTGTTATTAAGCCTTCTTTAAATGTTTTGTAGAATTCACCAGTGAACCCATCCAGTCCTAGACTTCTGTTTGTTGGGAGGTTTAACGGCTGATTCCATACCCTTAGAGGCATACTTCATTTTACTGCACTTTGCTATATTGTGCTTCACAGATACTGTATTATTTACAAACTGAAGGTTTGTGGCAACTCTGTGTCAAGTCTGTTGGTGCCATTTTTCCAACAGCATTTGCTCACTTCATGTCTGTGTGTCATGTTTTGATAATTCTCATAATATTTCAACCTTTTACAGTATTTATTATGGTGATCTGTGATCAGTGATCTTTGATGTTATTATTGCAGAAAGAGTATGCCTCCCTGAAGGCTCAGGTGACAGTCAGCATTTTTTAGCAATAATGTATTTTTAATTTAAGGTATGTAAATTGTTTTTTAGACAAAATGCTATTGCACCCTTAATAGAGTACACTGTAGTATAAACATAACTTTTATGTGCACTGGGAAACCAGAAAATTCATGTGACTTGCTTCATCAGGTGGTCTGGAACTGAACCCACAGTATCTTATATTGTTTGAAATTATTTCCAAATAAAAAACAAAACAAAATGCAAGGAATACTAGTCAAGTTCACAGCCCAGTGCAGGCTGTGGAAGGCACTCAGCAAATCCTCTGTCTCTCCCATTTCTCTCCTGCCCAGCGTGGAGACCGTGAATGACGGGCAGTTTCACAGTGTGGAGCTGGTGATGCTAAACCAGACCCTGAACCTGGTGGTGGACAAAGGAGCCCCTAAAAGCCTGGGGAAGCTCCAGAAGCAGCCAACAGTGGGCATCAACAGCCCCCTCTACCTTGGAGGTAAAGCCCCATCCCCTCCCACTCCAAACACCTCCCACCTGCCCCCTGTGCTCGGGCACCCACCACCAGGCCAACTGGTGAGGCTCGCTGCTCTCAGCACCCACTGCCAAAGCTAATCAATGAAGGCTCCCTGGAGGAAGTGACAACCAAGCTGCTCCCTAAAATGTGAATAGTTAGCCAGATCATGGGGAAAGAGAAGAGGAAAGGAAAGAGAGCAGGGTTCCTTCTGAGAAACTACATGTTTTTTAGGGAGGATGGTGGAAGGTGAAGATGGAATGGGGAGGAAGGAGATGGACACAGGGGGCCCCTTCAGATACAGGGGCTTCCCTCTGCCCTGCCACCCCCTCAGATGCTGTGAGTCTCAGCTGATGTATGTAGAGGAGTATGTTTGCCATTAAGGTCATTCAAAGGCCAAAGAGAGAAGGAGCCACCAGTCTGGCAGAGCATGGGCCTGAAACCCAGCCTTGGGCCAGTAGTTCTCAAAGGGTTATGTGCCAAAAAACAAAAAGGCATCAGAGCAGCTTATTCAACATGGAGGTTCCCAAGACTTCTCCCAAGGAGTCCACCTCCAAGGGCTGGAATTCGGGCGAGCAGGGTGGGCAGGGGAGTATCTTCAGGTCGCTGTCCTGGTGTCCCTTCCGCAGGCATCCCCACCTCCACGGGCCTCTCGGCCTTGCGCCAGGGCGTGGACCGGCCGCTGGGCGGCTTCCACGGCTGCATCCATGAGGTGCGCATCAACAACGAGCTGCAGGACTTCAAGGCCCTCCCGCCGCAGGCCCTGGGCGTCTCGCCGGGCTGCAAGTCCTGCAGCGTGTGCAGGCACGGCCTGTGCCGTGCCGTGGAGAAGGACAGCGTGGTGTGCGAGTGCCACCCAGGCTGGACCGGCCTGCTGTGCGACCAGGAGGCCCGCGACCCCTGCCTCGGCCACAGGTCAGTGTCCCTCCCCCTCTGCCCCGCCCGGGAAGTGGGCACTGATGGAAGCTGGAGGGACTGCAGTCAGACTGTAGACAGGGGCTGCTTAGAAGGTCAGGGGCTTAACACCTCCAAACAGCAGGTCTTGTTCAAAGGAGACATCAGTGTGCCAGAGCCTAGCTGAAAAACACTTGTCAAGTGGCCTTCAGAAGTCGAAAGGGGCACCCATGTGCATGCACCTTGGCAAGTGGGTGCATTTCGGCCCGACTCGACTCCCCACTCAGTGGTACCCTAGGAGGGCACCAGGGGTGTATAACCACGCACAGCTGAATCATTTCATGGCTCTGACATTCATTATGCATCAAAATATTTACTGAGGGCCTACTATGTGTCAGGCCTTGTGCTAAAAATAGGAGACCCAGCATCCTCAGTGTTCAGAAATCTGAATCGGCCAGAGATAACACCAGAGCCATGTCTAGTAGTTTGCTTGGCTGAACAAGCTGGGACATGATATTGTGGATCAGGAGTGAAGGATGCTATAAAGGGGTTGAGTTTCCTGGGTAGCTCTGGTGTGTGCGTGTATGCGTCTGACTCTGTAACGAATATGTCTACAATGAACCCTGCCTCTGAATGTCATCCCAGTACAGAGAATGCTGCAGCACAATTAAGAATCCAGGCTGTGGCATCAGTTTCTCCATCTATGAGATGTGGATAAGACTCTACTGCACAGGACAGCAGAGGAGAAGGGATTGTAGAAAATAAGACTGATGCTAGGTGTAAAGCACTTACCCCAATGCCTGGCACAGAGCAAGTGGTAGCTGGTGGTAGAGACAGTAATCATGTTATCAATTAAGATGGCAGAAGACTGCATGGGTTCTGACGTCTGTGGGTACAACAGCCAGCCGTATCAGGCTCACAGCTGTCAGTGTCATTGGGCGATGCTCACAGCCTCCAGCTGACTGATGCTCAGCCACTGGGCTGCTGGAGGGTGGACCATGGGGCGGAGAAGGCCTAAGGTCCCACAGCTCCGTGTCCCTTGGTCCGGGCTGGGGTGGACAAAGGAAGCCTCCAGCTGCACTGACTGCCTGGTTCCCCTCTCATCCTCACCTCTGCCCCCAGCTGCAGCCAGGGGAGATGCGTGGCAACTGGGACCTCATATGTGTGCAAGTGCGCCGAGGGCTACAGAGGGGCCTTGTGTGACCACAAGAATGACTCTGCCAATGCCTGTTCAGCCTTCAAGTGTCACCACGGGCAATGCCACGTCTCAGATCAAGGGGAGCCCTACTGCCTGTGCCAGCCCGGCTTTAGTGGGGAACACTGCGAACAAGGTGGGTCCACTGTGTGCATCGGTGTGGCGGGGGGGGGGGGGTGGGGAGAAACGATGGTGCCCGGGAAGGATGCGGGGGTCAGACTTGGACTCCACATTCAGATGACCTAAGTTCCAGTTCTGGCTGAGCCACTTAGAGGCTGCATGACCTTCATTAAGTTACTTTCTGAGCCTCAAATTCCGTCATGTTGAATATGGGGGGGGGGCAACACCATAACTTCCTGTATCAGTTTTATCCATTGCTGTATAACAAATTAGCCCCAACACATAGCAGTTCAAAACCACACTAAACATGCTCCATCCCACACGGTTCCCGTGGGTCAAGCATTCAGAAACGGCTTAGCTGGATAGTTCCAGCTGGGGTCTCTGGAGGTTGCAAACCGCCAGGACTGTGTGAGCAGTCTGGGTTGTTCTTTCTCTCCTCTCCCCTCCCCTCCTTTTCTAATTGCCGGCCCTGGAGCTGCCAGAGTGGCCCTCTGACCAGCACCACTGACTCACCTGGGAGCTTATTAGAAATATAGACGCTCAGTCCCAGCCCAGACCTTCTGAATGAGAACCTGCTTTAACAAGAGCCCTCGCTGGTTCTTAATCACATTAACATTTCAGACGTGGCTCTGCAGTCTCCTCCCAAACCTCATGCCATTATTGGGTCAACAAAAGACAGTTCCTTGGTCTGATCCCATTTCAAAAACATCAAATCAATCACTCACCTCTCTTAGTGACCCCTTTAGTGTATTAATTTGGAGGTAAGTGCAAAAAAGGAAAATTGAAATTAAATTATATTCCAGCTGAAATGGTTCTGTCTCACCTTGGAGGTTTTTCTCCTGCATGGAAACTGAGAAGTCTTCGTCTTCCTTCCTGCCACCAGAATCCTGGGCAGGCCACCTCCTGTCACTAGAGGACTCTTTCACATTTTATACCTTGTTGAAATACCATTCTTAACCAATTTGGTAAATAATGTATTCTGAAATAATCTCAGATCTAACAGAAAAATTGCCAGAATATAAACAGCGTTCCCATCCCCTTCAACTGGACAGCCCAACTGTTAACATGCTGCCGAGTGTGCGTTCTCCCTGCCCCACACATCACACACACCTATTGTCATTAGGCTTCTTTTGATCCCGTTAACAATCACATAATTTTAAAAACCTATATCAAGCTTAACAAAATGCACATCACATCACATTAACCACCTAAAACTTTAAACTGCATAAAGCCCTTTTGCATTCACAATCCCTGTGATGCTCATAACAGCCCCTGAAAAAGCAGGAAGAACCAGGACATGTGTCACCATTTTCCGGACAAGGAAACTGAGGCTCAGGGATCCAAGGCTGTGTGGCCGAGGATCCCAGTCCTGAATCCATTACTCTCTCTCAGTGCCTTGCTCCAGATGCTTTCCCAATGTACTGAGGACAGTAGTGGGGTCAAGGTGAAGAGTTGGGTCAGGGACCAGAGGATTAAGCAGATCCAGGGGTCCCCTCCCCTCCCCTCATTTCTACAACTTGTGGAAAATCTCGCATGCGCGCACACACACACACACCCCGCCCCCAGACTCTTTGGCTCACTGACCACTGTTCCTCTTTCAGATCTCAACTCCAGCATCACTTCCCAGAGACAATCCCTGGCCCCTGGGCTAGTCAGGCTCCTTTGCCATGTATTTTGTATAAACACATCCCGTTTCTTCGTAGCATGCACCTCAGTTTATCATTACAAATGTATTTATTTATTTAAATGACACTGTAATTAGTGTCTAGACTCTACACCAGCGGAGACAGGCTACTGAGAGTGGTGGGGACTGGGGCAAACTGGAGATCTCCTGCCCCGTCTAAAGCCCACGGCTTCAGCCTATCATTGCCACGTAGAGATGCAGACTCAGCTTTGCCAGAGCCCCTGGTTTTCAAAGAAACCAGATATCCCAATGTTCAGATGCAATCTCCTGGCATTGTGGGTTTTTTTCTTTTTTTAATGTTGGCATTTAATTTGGTTTCTAAGCATCTGTGGCACAAGCAACATAGGTCTGGGATGGGATTTAGCCCTCAGTCCCCCAATCTGCCACATCTAGTTTGATCTTTAAGTAAGTTCCTTGAGGGAAAGGACCAAGCCTGCTCTTGTCACCCTGCTATCCTCAGGGCTTAGTTTTAAACCTAGTATAGAGGCTGGCACAGAAAGGCACTTAGTATTTGTGGAAGAGTGAGATGGGTTATGGGAGGGTGGGCAGGGAGACGGATGGATGAGTGAATGAGTAAGTACGCACGGGCTTCGGCCCACAAGTGTCTCAGAGCAGCCTACCCCGGAGAGCCATCTCCAGCCCCAATGCCCTGCCCTTACCTCTTCCGCCCTCTGCAGAGACTCCATGCCTGGGGGGGGTAGTCCGAGAGGTGATCCGCCGCCAGAAAGGTTATGCCTCGTGTGCCACGGCCTCCAAGGTGCCCTTAATGGAATGTCATGGGGGCTGCGGTCCCCAGTGCTGCCAGCCCACCCGCAGCAAGCGGCGGAAATACGTGTTCCAGTGCACAGACGGCTCCTCGTTCGTGGAAGAGGTGGAGAGACATTTAGAGTGCGGCTGCCGCCCGTGTTCCTAAGGCCCCCCGCAGCCCTTCCGCCTCCCGGACTCCAGCCGGGTGGGTGGGGACGGCCACGTGGGACCCCCCCCCACGAGATTCGCAGTGAAGCAGTAGAAGCTGGAAAGGAAGCAAAAGAAGAGAATATTAAGTATATTGTAAAATAAACAAAAAATAGAACTTATTTTTATTATGGAAAGTGACTATTTTCATCTCTTATTATATAAATATATCACACCATCTGAGTATATGTACCATATAGTGAGTTATTTTTACCGACCTTTTTGTTCTGTGTTGTGTATTTGTCGTGTTTTTATAAACAGCTGTTAAAAGTTTTAAGAAAAAAGGCTAATAAAAATGTTTTAAAATGAAAGGATGAGCATAAAGAAGTGATAGCCTGTCTGAGAAGGAAGGAGGAGGTTTATACGTCTAGGAAACACTGTCGTCATTAGGTCGGCAGAAACCAGAACCTGCTTACTGAGCTCAGGAAACAGAGCGAGAAGAGGAAAAGAGCAAAGGAAAAGGTTTTTCTTTGTTTCTTCCGATTTTTAATGACTTTTCCTTCCCTACAAGCACCCAGCTTTTCAGTCCTGGTTGCCGAAGCCCAGGATGCCCAGTTCTTCCAGGAAAAGCCGCTGAGCACTGGCCTCTGACTGACTCTCCCTGGGACCCAAAGCATCGGCCGCCGCCCATGTGCTCCAGGCCCCTGCAGGGTCTGAGCCCACTGCAAACCCCCTCCCCATCCTGGCTGCCGTTGATTCCATTACAGGACTGTCTGAACTCTGCCACAGGCTTCATCTGAGCCTGTTTTGCCAAATCTGAAAACAGCTGCCCTTCTCCTCCCCCTCCCCAGGAAGGCAGTCCCCCTGCTGCTCCTCCAGGAACGCAGGGGTCACCCATCTCCTCAAGCCCCAGCACTGGCCCTTCCACTGGAAGTTCTGAACCACTCTCCTCCCTCAGCCAACCTCGTACTGGGAGGCGACACTAGGAGAGCAGGCAGCCCGGCTCACTGGCAAGTTCTGGGAGGCTCCTGCCATCGGGTAGCTAGGCCTCTGACACCTAAACCTCCAGGCCTCCGTCATGATGACGAAGACCCCTTGCCCGTCTGTACCACTTTTCCGTGCATATCCACACTGCACCTTATTCTCTCCATGCGACCCCTGCCCCCGGCGAAAGGAAGCAATATAACCCCATTTCATAGATAAGGAAATTGAGGCCTCGCTCCAGCCCTGTAACTCTCCTTACGCCACATCTCTGATAAGTGAATGAGCCAAGCCTAGAGCCTAGACTCAAAACTCTAGATTCCTTCTCCAGAACAGCATAAACACAGGAGATGCAGGCAGTTTAAGTTCATCAGAGAACCCCTACCAGAAAAGGAAATGGTTTTTTCTGCTATTTTTCCTGCTCTCATTCTGCCTTGTTCATTCCTTGTTCTACCTCCTTGGTATCCAGGAAGATTCTAGACTGGGGGACTTACGTATCAGGGGATGTGAGCCAGGGCAGCCTGTCTAGCCCGGACTCCACTCCAGGAACTGCCAGCCCTCCTGAAGGGGACTTGCCCCTGCCTCTTCCCCACCCTCGTCTGCCCCTTTCCACCCCAGTCAGGCTAGGGCAGATGCTCCAGGGGCTCAGCAGCTCACACTGACCCCTGTCTTGCACCCATTGCTCCCTCCCCCAGGAGCCTCCCCTGCAGAAGAGTCAGGGAGGAGAGTGTAGGGCCCAGTGACCATCCAGCTCTGAGCATCCCCAGAGGAGCCCAGTGGTTCTCTGAGGACTGATGGCGAGCCAAAGACTCAAAGAATCAAGAAGGGAGAAAGAAAAGAAGACGGAGGAACAAAAGGCAAGTGGCAGATAGGAAGGCAAGGAGGGAGGGAGGGAAGGAAGGCAGGAGAGAGAAGAGAGAGAGAAGGAAGGGAGGGAGGAAGGGAGGGAGGAAGGAAGGGAGGAAGGAAGGAGGGAGGGATGGAGGGAGAAAAGAGAAGGAAGGGAGGGAGGAAGGAAGGAGGGAAAACAGGGAAGGAAGGGGGAAGGAGAGAGAAACAACAAAAAGAGAGGGAGGAAGAGAGAGGGAGGGATAAGAGAGGAATTTACTGTAAAATATATAAATTATATGTACTATACATATACATCACGTTCTAGGTACTTACTGTACCTTATGATGACTGTATTAATGGCTGATTGACTTAGTACTTACTACATTATACATTAGGTACCATTCTAATTTATATATATTAATATATAATATATATTCACTTAATTCTCAAAACAACCCTGTAGTAAAGACATTGCTAACCCATTTTACAGTTCAGTAAATTGAGGCATGGAGAAGTTAACGTGCACAAGAGCAGATGCCTAATAAATTACAGAGCCGGGATCTGGGCCCACCCTGTCTAACTCCAGGACTTGCTCCTCATGGGAAGGAAAGAGGTCCCACCTCTAAGGATCCTACAGTCTGAGGCAGAAACAATCATGGAAATAGACAATTGTTTTATTATATGGAAGTAGCTGTCCAGAGTAAGGAATTTCCTATCTTGGGTCTTCAAAGATGAATAGGACTTTGCCTGGGCACAGGAAAGGGAGTTGAACTTTCCATGAATGCCCTATTAAAAAGCAAGGGAATATGAAAAGACCTGGCATGTTTGGGGAGCAGTCAGAGGTCTGGGGTGGCAGGAGTGTGGATGCACACTGGGGAGCAGGGATAAATGAGGTAGACATGAAGCAGGGGTTCGACCACAGAGAGCCGTGTGTGGCAGGCTGGACCACAGGGCCCCAGCAGGGGTTTTTGAGTGGGGGAATAGCAGAACAAGCTCTGAAGAGAACGGGTGGCAAAGTAGAGAAAGGCCTGGAAGAACAGATAGGGCTTTGCCACCCAAAATAGCCTTGGGGCTTCCCTGGTTGCTGACTTCAGTTTGTTGAGGCTAGACAATGCTGATTTCCGGATGGGTCACAAAGTATTTGTGGTAGCTCAGAAGCTCACCCCTGGAAGGGGTGTCATGGGATCTGCCCAATACCCCTCCCATCCCCCAGGCCCTACCAGCCCTCCTCACATAAGCAGGTGGTCCTGAGCCGCCTTCTACCACCAGCACTCCTAGCTAGCTCTCCCCACCCAGCACAAAGCCCACTCAGCCTGCCATCTTGAGAGCCCCACCCAGGGTCCCTGACTTTCTGGGAGGACTCACCAAGCTGACAGCTTTCCCTCTGCCTCCCCAAAGAATCTGAGGCCTTTCTCTGCTAGCCACCCCTGGGCCCAACCCCGAATCCAGCCACAGTCGGCCAAGACAGCCAAAGGGCAGGGTTCTTTCTCTCAGTGTGGCTTGGGGGTGATTTTCAGCCTTCCCCTCAATTTTGGTAGCCCTGAATTTATGAAATGCAAAATTCAGAACCATTAAGAAAATCCTCCCCAAAATGAAGTTTCTCTAACAACTGGAGATGAAATCTCTCCTGAGCAGCCAAATTCTAGAAGCAGGAAGTCCCATGGGACAGAAAGAGTTCAGCTGGTTAACTTGCACACATGATGGTTCAACGCCTGTGCGTGAGCAGAAGAAGGGGCTCAGGCTGTGTTCCCCTCCTGAGCAGGGTTCAGGGAAAGGGGAAGGGAGTGTCCCTCTTGACTCAACCAAGGGACCCCAAAATGGTTAGTGAGATAATGTATTTAAAAGCTCTTTGTAAAGTGTAAACTAAAAACCTTAAATGTAAGATGTTATTGTTATTATTACTATTGTTATTATTGACATGCCAAAAGGCCCTCTGTACAAGATGGCTTTGCCTTTTCAACTTCATAGAAAAGAACCTGAGTCTGACACTTCAGAAAGGTGACAGAGAGAAGGACAACGAGGAAGGAGGCAAGGAAAGGGAGGGAGGTCTCCTAGGGCCAGGGAAATAGGAGAAAATCCCCCAGGATGACCCTCAGGAACCCAGGAGTGGCCAGGATGGGGAATGAGCTAACCTTGCCCTTCACCGGATACAAAGCTATCAGCAGGCTAAGCCCTCAGGCTGAGAAGCCACGCAGTGCCATTGCTGGGAGCAGAAGCCCCTAGTGTAAAAGGACCTGCCCCCAAAGGCCCACAGGCTCCCAGATATCAGAGTGGGAGGAACCCAAGGGGGTCCCTGGTGGCTGGGAACACCGAGAATCAGAGAAAGGGCATGTCCAGACCAGAGACCAAGGTCATCCAGGAAATGAACACCAGGGGCAGGAAGAGACCCAGGTGCCTACGCAGGCCAAAGTTCTTCCTGCGACTCCACAGGGGGCATCCAGGCAGAGTGAAGCCTGAGACAGGCCCTCCAATACCTTCTTGGTGGCCAGGAAAGTATCCTTCACCTTCCCCCACCGCCGTCTCCCGGTGCACCCAGATGGCCGGGAAGCTGGGGCACTATCTGGTTTGATGACACTTATCCACGTTTCCCAGTCTGGGTTAGACAGTGCCAAAGGAAACACTTGGGGAAAGTTGATGAGAGATGCCAGCTAGCAAGGCCAGCAAAGCCAGAATGGGGCATTTGGCAAAGCTTCTTTCTCTAACTCAACAAATTTCTAAGAGGGAAAATTTTAAGATGTTTTTTAAAACAATGTAATAGTGCCACTTCCCCAGTATGGGATAAATAATGTGTTTCGGTTTTTTTTTTTCCAACAGACTGTCATATGCTGATATCATTAAAATAAATGGATGAGTCACAGGAGAGCTATCAGATGCTCTCGTGAATACCATAACCTCAGCGCTGCTCTGTGGGGTGTGCTTTATTTTTACTCCTGACCTTCGCACTCCCTGGAGCAAAGGTTACTGCATTCCTGGGGTTTGGGCAAGTCTGGTGTGGAGTAAGTGGAAAAAAATCGGTTTCTTGCACCATGAAGTGGGAAAAATGGATCCAGAGTTCCCCAGAGACATGGGAGAGAAGCTCCAACACATGGCTTAAGGTCTGCAGGGCACGTGTTATGTATGGTCACAGACAGGGGGCCAAGGGTCACAGAGCAGGGAGCCGCTCCAACACAGAGCACACTTATTAAGATGTGAAGGAAGACTCCTCCTGGGAACTCCAATGCCTAATTAAACCCCCTCCTTTTGTCACTTCTTTCACAAGCATTTACTGAAGATCTACTACGTGCCACGTTTTGGTCTAGGCACCGAGGGCTACGAAGATGACCCAGACAAAGTCCTTGTTCTCCTGGAGCTTAATTTTTAACTGAGTGTCAATCAGCAAACAATCAAAGAAAACATCAGATAATATAAAAAAGTAGAGATGACCTGACACATTAGCTGGTGGCTACTTTACACAGTGAAGTCG